TGTGCATTTTGTTTTTCTTGCCTAAATGTAGAACCTTACTCTTTTCACCATTGAATTTCATTTTGTTTCTTGCTGGCTGAGATGCTGGGAGTTGTTGTTCAGCTCCACTAGAATGGTAGCTGGTTTGGAGTGCCGGGCTTAGCATGTCATGCAAACTAAACCCATTTGGTTAGTTTACAGTTTGATATTTTGTGCAAATCCAGAAAATAGTTTAATTTGAAAACTAGGTTAATCAGCCTGTGGTTATGAGTTTATTTATCTTCATTCAAAACAACCGTGCTCTGGTTTAAGCAAGAATGAAAAGAAAGGAAAAAGCAAATGAGTCACAGAGCCAAAGAAAGAAATTGAAGTTGGAGAAAAATGAAAAATGGCTGTGTTCCCATTTGGAAAAAAGCTTGTCTTATCCAGTGACCAAATTGCCTGATTCACTCTGGCTGATGGATCAGCATAAACGAAACTGAATCTCCTGAAATATTCTCTGCGTATATTCTCTTTTGAGCTCGGTGGTCCATCTAGCCTCCTTGGAAATGAATCTGTCTGCCTGGTCCAGCTCTTCCTACTTTTTGAAAACTTTTCTTAATATGCAAAAAGTGGGTAAGACTTTCATTGAAATCCTGGCATCTGGTAGAACACGGAGCAGGTGTGCAGTCATGCAATTGCTAGGTTGTGCTGCATCATTTTGGCTTCTCTGTGAAGGCTTGTTCATGGTGGCAGTTTTCCAAAAGTAGGCCTGTTGCAGGTATGCACAGCAATCTGCTTTTTAAGAACCTGATTTTTGCAGCTGCAAAAGGGAGGAAGATCTAGGAAGCTCCTCTTTTGGAACAACCCAGTGCAGGGCAGCTGTGGGCCCAGTTGCCCCAACTGTCTGTGAATCCAGTTTTCTGACTGGGTGCAGTTTTGAACCAAAATCCTTGCCAGCCCTTCCTAATCTCCAACCTTTAAGAACAATCCTCGACTCCATTTGGTGAAAATGGTATAGTTTACTGAAGTGAAATACAGTAGAGCAAAGCGAGAACTGAAATTTGCATGCCAAAATCTCCTAAGTTTAACTCCCCCATCCCTGAGTCACTTCCCACTGCTAGTCTCCCATTGTTCAAATGGATTGAATTTGGGAATGGTCTCTTCAGCTGTGGGCTCGCTGGTATGCAGCTGCATGCTGTTCCCAGCTGTCTAACCTTGAAGTTGTGTCTCCAGAAAGATTTGGTGAGCAGTGAACTATCCCTCCTCCCACCCAGCTCCCTTCCCCCAGAATTCATGGCACACTGGCATCGAGTGAATGCAAAGCGCAGGAATGAGGTGGCAGTTCCCACAATCCTTCTCTTGGTTTTATATAACAGTGAAGTGTCCCTTGAATCAAGGATGACTCTTGGTGATGTCCTGGACATATACATTGATTTGTCAGGTCAGTGGTTGAAAGTGGCCTCCTTCTACTCTGTTTGAAGTCCTGGTCTGGCCCAACCCTTGGAGTTTTCCAACTAACACTCCCTTCTAGGTATTAACCCAACTGGAGCAGCTTACCTTCTGAAATACTGCCCAGAAACATTCAAGTGAGGGTTGCTGTTGACCATTAGCCATCCGCCCTCTGCATCGGCCTTTGTTTGAATTTCTGTACGTGGTAGGAAGTTGACTAAGGATGTATTGGAAAAAATGTTCATCTGGTTCAGTTCCAAGCTGGAAGAAAGACATTAGAAGCATGGAGGCTCCTTGGAAAGATGGTTTAATGATGAAGCAGAACCACATGGGTTTGTGGCTCTGGGCAGCTGACTCCGTGGAGTTGAGAGCAAGGGGTTTTGGGCTTTGCACTTGAGCTTCCTGTTCCTGTGCAAGAACATATTTTCTATTGGCTGTTGTCAGGCTCCCATGGGGCCATGTAGGAGTTATGTAAGGATCATAGCTGGCTCTATAGACAAAGTACAAATCCTAGGTGTTTGTCTGGGCTAGGTTTGGTTGAAGTTTCTGAGGGTCCTTAGGAGATTGTGTAATGAAGTGAGCTCTAGTCTTCTGCTAGATGGCAGTGGGTTAATCCTGTTATGCCTCGAAGGGTCATGTCTTCATCACATCACCCTGGAGCTGAAAGTCTTATGTTTTGTAGATAGGATGGCCCAATCTTTCTTAGGGGCAGAAAATATCTGCTGTGGGAAGGGAGCTGAAGCTCTGAGTTTCTGTCTCCCTTAAGATTTTTATTTCTCTTTTAGGGGAAATATTTTATCCTGCCTTTTTAAATATTTCCCAAAATATTTTATTCTTCTAAAGGGGGGGGGGTGCTTCTCACAGATGGGAGAGGGAAGGAGAGGATCTAAGATTGTGGAAACATGGCTGGCTTATGGTCTGTTGCCAGCAACAAAGCCAAAAAAGCCACGAAGGGAACTTTCCTCTCGTTGGTCGTGAGAACTGGGCATGCAGAAGAAGCAACTGGTTCAGCACGATGGCGATGGGAGACTGCAGACATGCAAGTGGTAGAAAGAGGGGAGAGACAGAGAAGAAGAGAGAGTCAAGCATAAAAGAGGGAGGATTTTGAGAGGAATTCGTCGTCTTGAAGATGCATGGATGTGATGGCAAAGCCACCCTCTGAAGGACAAACTGGATGGTTGTGAACAAGGGAGCCCAAGAAAGGGATGCTTGGATGGAGTTGAGGAGTCCATCAGAAAGAGTGGTGAGAGGTTTAAAGAACAAAAGGCCATGGATGCAGTTGCCTGCGGGGCATGCCAGAAGCAAGGATTGTTTGCAAGATAGGGAGGGGAAGAGAGCTGTACTTCAGCTTGGTCTACGTGTCCTTTTCTTTCTCTTTTTACCTCAGGCCTCTGATTCCTTGGTTTTTCTCATGGCCATATTTCTATACCACCCTCAAGGCTGTTTCATAACACCAGCAAAATAATAGTACAAAATCACAGCATAAAATCAAGTAGCATCTAGTGAGGTGGGGGCTTCCCTTCCCTGGAGTGGGAGCAGCAAGGTCACATGAGGGCTCCTACTGAGAAACTGACCCTGGAGCAGGCTGGTTCTGGCCAGTAGAGACTCTTGCAAGGACACAGTGGCCAAGCCTTGTAAGCCCTTCTAGGTTAAAAGAAGCACCTCCAGTTGAGCCTGGAATCTTATGGACAATAAACACTGCCCCCAACATCAGTGAGTCCCCTTTCCAGATGTTTGCATCAGGCTGCTGCATTCTGTAGCAACCTGAGTTTCCAAACTGTCTCTCAGGACATCCCAGAAGCTGGGCTCCTGCAGTGGCCACTTATCCAGGAGGCTCCAAGCTGCAGATCTCCTCATCAAGGGGACTCCATCACCCACTCCAAACCCTCTGGCTAGCAAGGTTGCACCAGGAAGACCCCCTGCAAATGGCCGAGAATTCACCTGTGTCTCTTTTGACCTTGCAGGCTGCAAAGAGTGGCCAAAGCTCCAGAGTATCTTCAGCTCCTGCTGGTCTTGGTGAGACCTCATCCCAGGCTGGTGGACGGCTTCTTCCTCGGCCCTTCTGTGCAAACAGACTTTGAAACTCCTGAAAGTCAAGGTGGAAGTGCATTTTATCAGGGAATTCCTAAGGTGCAATTGTTCCACAAATTCCCTGACAAAACAGCTGGGGGCAGAGCAGGGAAACAGGCTGTGAAGAAAGGAAACCAAGCCATAGGCAACACGGGGTGCAACCTGCCCACAATGGCACAGCTCGCAGCCCGAGGATTAAACATTCAAATGAGTCTTTGCTCTTCTTACTGAAAATCCAGAATTCCCTGCTCAAAATGCTTTTGTTCTTGGCTGGCAGGGTGAATTTGCTAGAAGGGTGGATTTAAAACTCATTTAAAATGTTTACATTTCCTAGAATGAGAGCACTTTTTCAACCAAAGCAGTGGTTTGCTCCTTTAAGGAGCATTCTGGGTCCACTTCCCCCTCCTGCTGGCTCTGCTTTGTTTCATGGATCAATGGGGGGAAAAGAGAATATCTTGCAGGCTCAAACTGTACCTTACACCCACTCAGAAAGTTGAGCTGTCAAATTCTTGCGTCTATGAGTATGCTTTTCTGGGATAATGCTGTAGGATGACTGCAATCCCCAGCCTTCTATCTTCTGGCAGAGTGGTTTGATAATCTTGATAAAAAAAACAAAACTTGGTTTCCAGTGGGAAATCAACTATCTGATTAGGAAAGTTCTAACCGGAACTTTTCAAACTTCAGGCAAAGGAGGAGGATGGTTAGATCTGAGCTGCAAAACTCTGGACGGACATGGGATGGCAGCAGAGAGTTTCCCAGGTGTCTTTGCTGCTCTGAGCACCCATCACCCCCCACACCTGAAGTTGCACCCAGTTTGGGGATCCCGATAGAAAGGTGCCAGTCGACTCTTCCTACCCATCCCTCATTCACCTTGGCTGACTTCAGGACTGTCTACAGGGAGGCCCCCCAAAGTTGTTCAGATGGGCCACCTGTAAAAAGGGCTGAGGCTGGCCTGTTTCACCTGGTCAAGGTGTTCTTGATCCAAAGTCTATTAAAACCTGTTCAAATCTGGGACAAAATAGCTGTGAACAAGGATAGAGTCACTGGCTTGTAAAACATCAGTCTTGAATGATCTCAGGAAGCCCTCATTTGGTTTTTGCAGAATTTGGGATTTTTCAAAGGACATATCCCTCCCCCCTCTCTANTATTTATCAACAACAAAATATCTTTATAATATACATCTTGTAACTAGGCAAGCAACCATAAGGAAACAATGCTGGTCAGCTCACAATGTCCTTATGATTTCTTGTGTCTGACAGTCATTTTGCAAGCATCATGGCAAGCAGGTTCTCAGGCACCATCCCCCCCACCGCCTCTTCAGCCTCCCTGCAAACTCATGCTCCGCCTCAATGCCAGCCAGCAGGGGCTCCAGAAGGGAGCTGTGGGGGTACCACCTGGCATGGTGGCCAGGGAGGGAAGGGGCTTGTTAGGCTCCCTCTTATTGAGGCTGATGATGGGGGTCAATGGGGGGCTGCCTTAAACCCATAATTAATAGTGGTCTCCTTACCCCTTTGTAGTTTCTACTTCCCACACCCCACAACAATGAACACACTTTGCATAGACCCACATTCTCAATGGGTGTTTTTGACTGCAATTCTGCAGAGTTCTCTTCTTAATAGTCAGGTTGGTAGGGAAAAAATGGGGGAGGAGAAAAATATGTATAAATGGCAGGACAAAACCCCACATTTAAAAAAAGTTACATTGATACGCATTGAAAGTTCTTAAAAATGAATGGCCTTTTACTGAACTGTGAGTCTAAATGTTAAAATCTGCATCTTAAAGGCTGGAATTAATGCTTGGAGTGGGGGACGTTTTGAACTGAGTTATATTTTTATCTGTTTTAATTTCTTATCTCCAAGTACACCTACATCCCATTTCTGCCGGTGGCTATAAATGCAGGCTTGACAATGAGAACTGCAGGTTTGAATTGCAGCTCAGCCTGGGGGTTGGGGAGGGGGTTAGAGTAGCTTTAATCTACAAAATTATGCTAATATCCCAGCTTTCTCCATTTGGGGAATGGAAACAAAAGGGCTGGAAGTTGAATAAGTTAGGAAACCATGTTATATTCAGTTTATCTCTGCAGTAGCCAAGTTCCAAACCGGCTCCTCTGGAATTTTTGCTGCTCCAAGCAATCAACCTGCTTCCATGGATGTGATGAAAGAAATGTCCTTCTGGGTTCAGCTCCAAGTGGGGGAAAAGACACTGGAGANCCACTACCCCCCTCTCTCTGCCCCAGATTGGTTGGCAAAGAGGAGCAAAACCGGAGCCCCTTCATCTTCTGCAGTGTGTCGTTGCCATTAAGTTAAGGAGAGCTGCACTAGTTGCACCTGTAGTTCCAGTGTTACTGGGGGAGCATCCATAAATCCCTGGGAACCCCACAGCCTTCCCTTCATGACCTCCTAAAAACCCAGGCCTCTTGTCTCTGAAGACAGAGGCTCAGTTTACGCCACAGCAAAGCCTCAGCAAGACCTCTGCCTCCTGTGAAGTCCAGATGTTTGATTCCTGGCCAGATGTGTGTGTGTTGCTGCCCGCTGGAAGAGCCAGGAGAGATTCATTGCCTAGTTGGATGGTTCACTCATGCACCATCCCGTCGCAGAAAAGGATATTTGCTGGTGAAATGATTCCCTCATTATCACGCGCCCATCCAGATGCTGCCTCCGCTAGAAAAATTGAACTGGCACGCCTGTGGTGGAAGCACTAATGACTGCCACCGATAATCATTTATATTAATTTCCACTCTATTTATTTTTAATCCACAAAGTTTATCAAGATCTATATTGGTAAGGAAGCCACACTGGTGCCTGTTTAGCAGGTGAAGAGGCAGAAGGGGAGCCATTTGCAAGGCCACCAGAAAAGAGGGAGGGGGAGGGAGGAAGCTGGCACTCCATTTTGGAAGGAAGCCAAGATGCGTTTCTCAGCCTACTTCCCCCCCAACCCCCAGGGGTCTCAGATGGATCTCAGATGCTCCTGACTGGCGGAGCTTTTCTGTTCTGCCATGGCTCTAACTCTTCAACAATAAAAAATACCCAAACTTATATCTGGAAAGTATTTTGTACTGCTGCACTATAAAAATATATTTTTCAACAATGTGTTATTTGGAAGCTAAGGAGAGGGAGAGAAAGAGGGGGGGGGGAGATGAGAGGGAGACAGAGAGAGGGAGAGGGGATAGGGAGGGAGGGAGGGAGGAGAGGGAGGGACAAAGAGAAAAGGGGAGAGGAAGAGAGAGGCGAGGGAGACACAGAGAGAGGGGGGACAGAGAGGGGAGAGGGAGGGAGACATTTATAGAACAATGAATTTGCTTTATTAATGTTGTGCAGCATCACTAGTTGCTGAGATGCTAGTCCTACACCTGGGCTGCCCAACATGGTCTCAGTCTGGACTGGAGAGAAGAGAAAGTCCACCTGTGCTCAGCCATTGAGGCCTGGAGGGGAGGAGGCTAGGATCCTCCATCTCTGGGCAGAGCCAAGAAGGCAGCATAGGGGAGACTTTAACCGGCGTTCAAGTGACCTACGGGCCCGGCCTTCATCCGGGAAGCTTCATCCTTTTCTCTTCCTGAGTCCAAGAGAGAGATTCAACGCTGAGCTCAGGGCCCAATTCTGGCAGCAGGATTGGGGGCAGCAGCTCAGCCTCTGGGCCTGGGGAAGACGTCATCCGCTGACTGGGGGCCACAGCCCCCTTTGGAGGCCTTTGGCTTACCCTCCCCCCTCCTTAGTAAGGTAGGGGGGAAAGCAAAGCAAAGAAGCTGTTGCTGGAAGGCAGCCTTTCTGCTGCCAGACTTCAGAGGCTGTGATTTATGGGCCAAAGAGTCCAGCCCTGCTTGAGAAATAGAGCCGAGGTAACGCAGTGGTTAAATGCAGCACTGCAGGCTACTTCAGCTGACTGCAGTTCTGCAGTTTGGCTGTTCAAATCTCAC